AGAAACAAATGATATATATTAAGATATATAAGATAGTTATATGTATATATACACACCTGTTTATATATATATATATATGTGTGTGTGTGCGCGCGCATGCGTGTGTGTTTATTTTGATGACTTGTCAGGTATCAATGAAGAAAATAGCTAAAATATATTTATTATTGACGGTATTACATGAGTTCCTTTCCCACACTTCTTAAGAAGTCACTTTTCACATCCGGGAACAAATATTCAAGATGTACCGTCCATTTGTGACAAAATTTTGAACAGATGCATTGAAGAATGCTTGTTCATCTACTCACACTGCTGTTTTTGTAAATAATGTCAAAGTTCTCATTGGTTGGCTACCTCAAAGAAAAAATTATTGGCCAACAAGATTAAAATGTATGATTTCCTTCTCAGAAGATAGCAAATAGGACGAAGGGAAATAACTCTTGTTTATTGACAATATGTCTACCGCCAAAGTCTATGCCTGTTTAATTCCTCTGTTGTAGTACGCTGCGTAATCAGCACGTCTCACTGACCAGTTTGTTAGTCTAGTGAGATTAAATCTCACTGGATTCTGGTCCTGTGTCAAATTCAACTTCTTTTCTTTTTTTCTTATTCAATTCACCCTAACCAATGTGATGATGCCACTAATACGCAAGGGGCTACTGGGAGTGAAAGAGAAGTAAAGTGACGTTATAAGGAATCAGGATCCCAAATCTAAACAGAAAACAAGGGATAAACATCTACTGCCGTTCAAAAGGCCGGGGAAGAGTGTAAATCGGACAATAGGCGAGCCTATCTGCTCTTATTGAGGAAAAATTAAATAGTAAATAAAATAACAGAGTTTAGGCAGAGATGTTAGAAGTATAGAGTTGAAGTAGACTTATTAAGGAACTGGAAACCCAATCCTAAAAAGGAAACAAGCAATAAACCTCTACTTCTGTTCAAAAGACATAGGAAATGTGAACCGGACGATAGGCGAATTTATCGACTTCTATTGAGGTAAAATAAATAAATAGTAAATAAAATTTCATAGTTTAGGCGGAGAGGTTAAGGGTATAGAGATGCTTTAGAGAAAAATGTCTGCTGTAAAATAGTTGCATAAATCAATTCACATAGATGGTATTCGGAGTGAAGTAAAGACTTAAAAATTTTAAATGTTTCGTTTTATATCAGGAAGGCCCTTTGAACTTACCGATTAGCGAAACTACATTTTCTTATCTTATTTGCAAACATTCGGCCTTGTGGCCTTTGTTAAACTTAACAAATTCCGTTCTGTGATTGCGAATTAATGTTATAATGGAATGTCCCACACTGCCTATCGCCTATGTGGACTGACTATATCAGTAGATATATATAGTGAGCACAGGATATACCTGGAGGATTGCTACGGCAATTAGTTGGAGATTTGTCTCCAGCTAAGCTAGTCGAACTCTCTACCTTCGGGCAGAGAGGAACCCAGAGGAGGCTATGCCGAAGGGCAGAGTCTCGTCTGGGGTGGTAGACAGCTACCCGACCACGTCTTTTACGGTGTCTACGGGGAATATTTGCCCGAGCCTACGGGCTCGGATACTCCACGTTTAATTCGGCCTTGTGCCACATCTGACCGCGTGGGGCGGTTGGCAAATATCCTTGCTTCGGCAATTAATTGGAATTTCCTCTCCGACTGTACTAGTCGAACTTTCTGCCTTCGGGCGGAAAGGAACCCAGACGAGGCTATGCCGTAGGGCAGAATCTCGTCTGGGGTGGTAGACAGCTACCCGACTACGTTTTTTACGGGAACTACGGGGAATTTTTTGCCTTGCGTGGAGGTAAGATAAATAACCTTGCTTCGGCAGTTAGTTGGAGATTCGTCTACCACTGTGCTGGTCAAAGACAAAGGCAGAGTTTCTTCTCGGGAAACAGGTACCCGACCCCGTTTTGTACGGGGAATTTTTTGCCGAACCTACAGACTCGGATATCCAACGTTAAATTCGGCCTTGTACCACATCTGACCGCTTGGGGCGGTTGGTAGATATCATTGCTTCGGTAATTAATAGCCTGTCACCCGATTACCTGTTTTTCAGTAGTGTATTCTCTTTTACAGTACCACCGTTGTCTTTTTGTAACCTTTTTAAGGATACAACAATAATTTACAGAATGTAGGTTTTAATTGAGTACTTTCTTTGATTAAACTATTCTTAATGGGCTATGTATAACATCTTGGATCTGTTTCGTATTTTCGGCAGGGGTAACATATGAATATTACGAATTCTCTTCTCTGTTGCTCGTTCCGACATGAAATAATGAACTTATTGCCTGTGAGTTGATTTTATACATTTCCTTTTTTTGCAAACTAACCAGTTAGATGCTCGCTTAAGCTAAAGAGACTCATAATGTTTTTTTTAAGCTACAAATTTAATTTTCCTTTTACAAGAAGTGTTGATTAACAACCCCACTTCTAACAAGACCAAAAATTGAGAGCAACAAGAAATATGTTATTCTGTGAACGTATTATAGAGGCATAAAAAAAAATTAGGCATTCTTCATACTTCAAAGATCACAATTTTAAAACAGATATCTTTTCTATGGCATCAGATGGAGGCTATGTTTATTCTAACAATACGACTCCATTTTTTTTTTCATTAACGTCTGCTTTCGCGTCTACCAACATTCCGCAGTGTCTTCTCTTTTCAAACGGAACTAAACAAGCATTTCTATGGAAAATAAGAAATAAAAATGAAACTTTCGATAAACAAAACATAAACTGAAAAAAAAATGCACTCGTTTTTCATGGTTATTAGGACACCCTTTATTGTTTTGATTTTTTGTGTTTGTTTTTTTCAGCTGTTTTATATAATGTTTTATTTCTCTTCATTTTTCTTTTCATTTTTTTCGTTGTTTCCTTCTTAGGCAGCTTACTTCCTTTTCTTGCCTTTTCTTGTTCTCTCACATTTTCTTTTATTATTTCTTCTTGTATTTTAACAATATGTCTGTCAATCTAAGATTTCTTAAGCTAACTTCATATTAATGAGCAATTCTTTTCAACTCTAGCTTCCATAATGCGCTCCGGAAAGTGGAATAACGTTCGAAATTGAGCTTAGTAAACTTACCATTTTCTTTACTTACACATGTAAACATGATAGATAGATAGATAGATAGATTTATTTATTTCCGATATATTTTCATAAAAATGACACAGGGAGAAAACTTTTAGCTAGCAAAACTCTTTTTCTACATCGGCTTAACTACCGATTATGCATTTCCGCTTGTGAGCAACATGATGAATCATTTCACGGATAGATAGCTGTGTAGCCTTACCCGGAACTGAAAAATATTATCCCCCCCCTAACTGTGCTTATCTTCACTGTTTGGTCTCCATAAGCGTTCAAAAGCTTCGATGAAGGTAATGTCTTTCTTTTGGGGTTTGGTGAACTTTCCAATTTTCCATTGTCTTCCTTATGAAGTTAATTACTTCCCTTGAAAATCTACGGCATTCTACGAGGTTTCATCTTCTATGCCTTTTTCTTAGTCTATCGCCATCATGTCTAAATCCTTCTTTCTTGATTTAAATTTCTTCAATATGTTTTGGCCGAGATGTATAACAGATCATTCTTTTTCATTTTTCAACACCCTCTATGCTCCTCGGGATATAATGCTCGTCTTTCCAACGAAAAGTCTATTACTTTTGTTACTTTAGCTGTTCGGGCTTTTCAAATCAGTGGTAAGCATGTTATCAGCCTATAGTTGCTAAAAAGTATTGGTTTTCCCGGCAATAATCAGAGTAGTTTTTCTTCTCGCCTTCTATTCGGAGATTGTTGTTTCTTTCATAAATTTACGTAATTTTCGGAATATTCTCCCATTAATTGAAACAAAAGCCATCCATTCTATCTTTTCCAAACACTTTACAACTAGCATCTTTTTAAATACTTTTTTAATGCTTTCGAGATTTACTTCAGCCTCGGATCTTTTCAATCCCTTTTGTTTTCTTTTCAGCTGAGCCAGCCTTCCAGCATGTCTTTTATGGTCTTTTCTCCCAAAATGTTTTGTTACCGATAGTTCTGTTGTGTATTTTCCTTCTCCATTTAAGCGTTGATTAATCTTTTCTTTTTCATTATTTTGTTATATTGCATTCTTTCTGTATTGTTTAACTCTATGTGTCATCATCTCTTGTGATTGCATTCCTTCCATCTTTTGGTTAGTCTCCTCCAGTTTGTTGTTGCTCCTCCTCCTATCTATTTGCTTATTCGTTGTCTATTAACATTTCCCGAGTGCCTTTGCTCTTCCACGCCATACTTGTTCCAGCATCATATTATTATTAACATTATTATTTTTTTTACTAATGTTCATTCAATACAAGGCCCAAGAGCCATTCGATGTAGAAGGTTATTTTGTAGCTTTGTATGAGCATGAGATAGAGCAAGAAGTTCTTGCGGCTATGCAGGAAAGATAATGGCTAACTCTAAACTTGAAGAGGTCATGATTTAATTAGTGTATTAGTGAGTTCAGACGGAGATTTTAAAAGTATAGTTTCGGAGTAGACTTTAGAAAAAAACAGGAAACAAGGGATAAACCTCTACTCCTGTTCAAAACATCAGGAAGTACTGTTAAATGGATGATAGGCAAACCTATCTGTTGGGCGAGGAAAAAAATAATGAATAAAATTTCAGTTTTGGCAGAGATGTTAGAAGTATAGTGCTGAAGAAGACTTTAGAAGCAATCGGAAACCCAATCCTAAACAGGAAACAAGCGATATAACTCTACTCCTGCTTAAAACATTATTATTATTAATAATGTCAGTAAAATGATCAAAGTATCTTCAGCTATTAATATTATTGTTCTCTTTATGTAAGACTAGCAACATGGCCCGGCGTTGCCCGTGCTTGATTCAAAAATCGTATGACTCATACAGCAATCGCTATCAATTAAAATATTTTTGCCCTTCCTTGCCTTTAAAGGAGTGCTCTTTGCCGTACTGATGTTGCTACATGCCTTACTTCTTGCCTATCTCACACTGCGAATTTTTTCTAAGCTCTATACTAAATATTAAATCTGTTACGAAAAAGAACTAAACAAAATGAACACAAAACGATCAGCTTTAAAAAAGGACTCGTAACTGGAAAAACCGAATGAAAAAAGAATGTTAACAACAAATAGTTTTTCACACCCAATCCAGTTCTGCGGAATCAGAATCAACGTTGAGTTTAAGCAAGCGAATGAGCCAATTGGAGTAAAGTGCCATGCAGATTTAAATTTTTCCCACTTGTAACGAATGCAACTATCGATTTTTTTTGCATGCTAGCATGCTAGTTAACATTCGTGTCATTCAGCTATTGGCTCTCACTCTGGCCAGTACAAAATGGCCGCAAACTACATGAAAACTGCCGTAGAAGCATAAAAAATCGATTATTTCCACTTTCGATGGGAGTTTGGAAATGCAATGTCGGTCTTGGCCTTCCCGCTAACTTGGAGCATGTGCATATAAATTTTGATGCAAATCCGTCGAAAATTGCGGCCATCCATTCGTTACACACACACATTCTGCCTTTTATAGATAGAGATTTTATTCTTTGACTCATTTTTATATTTTAAAATCTTTCTCCTTATTTATCTATTGTTTTTCAAAAATATTTCTCTTCGTTTCATTTCATTTCTTTCTTTCCTTCTTTTTCTTCAATTCTGTATTTGTTTATTCCTACCCATTTCACTTTCTTCTCTTTCTACGTTTCTTTTCTTCTTTTTCCTTTAATTTCTTTTTAATGACATCCATCTTCAACTCTTATTCAAATTTTCTCTTACTTACTCACCTTTAATTAGCATCTCCACCGCCATATTTAATTTCCTTCTTCTCCTTTTCTTTTCTATTTTCCTTTTATTTCTTCTCTCTTTTTTCTCCATTTTATCTTCTTTTTTTTTTTGCCTTTTTTCTCATTTTTATCTTCTTTCTTCTTTTATTTCATTTTCATTTTCTTTCCTTTTTAACCTTTTCATCTTGTTTTGTCCTTTATCTTTTTGTTTTTATTCCTTTCTTTTTTTTCTTTTTCTTGCCCATTTATTTCCTCCCCTTTTCACTATCACACTTTCACTTTCTCCAACTCCCCACCTAGTTTATCTATATTACTGTTCCTACCCCACCGGCCTTTCATCGAATCATTCATATAATGCATAATAAAATGCAAACCTTGCTCTAAAATCACATACATTACACCCTCTTTCCTCACTTAGTGTTGACAGCCTGTTCACACAGCCATGCTTAACTCCTTTCCCTTCCGTGGAATAACCGCTATTTTCTTGGCAAATCCCGGAAGTCGTCAATATAGTCGTGACTAGATCAAATCCACCAGACATTTTGTTTGCCAACAGATATTATCACCGCATTCTGTTGTCGGCTGCCAGTCACCAACTGCCCGTCATCACCATCTGCCTTCGTTTGCTTTCACTGTTAAGGCTCTAAGAGTAAATACTTCCCTTCTTCTGATATTACAAAAGTTAGGGACCGTGGATGAGGGAGTCAGGCGCCATCTTTATAATCTATGATAATAAGATTCCGGGAATTTCTTTTTCTCTCGTTATTTATTATTTTACAGTGACTCGGACATAATTCCGTCTGTTACCACTGTCGCCATATTTGGCCGCGTCTTCCGTTCTAGCCTCAAGACTTCCGTTTGACTTTTAATCTTTGGCATCGACTAATTATTTCTGTCTGAATTTCATGTCTGTCTTTTTTATTATTATTATATTTTATTTACATGTGTACGTGCATTCTTATTTAACATGAAATGTACGTTATTTACTTTGAGGTTTATTCTTTTCTTCTTTCATTGGTCGTCGGTTTTCTCTCTGACGAGATTTCTAATCCTCCGGGTATTTATTCTTTTTAAGTTAATTTGCAAATAAAGTGCATTCAGATACTCTAGAAACTCATAATTATTCATTATTAATTAATAATATCATTTGTGTTTAAGAAATGGTCATCTCTAAGAATCGATTTGCAGTAAATCTTGTCAGGTCTCAACAATGCCATGATCTGCAACGTCTTAGTTTTTCCCTTTCAAAGATCAATAGGACTCTGCTGCTTTCATCAGTAGGAGTCTGCTACTTTCATCAGTAGGAGTCTGCTGCTTTCATCAGTAGGAGTTTGCTACTTTTATCAGTGGGAGTCTGCTGCTTTCATCAGTAGGAGTCTGCTACTTTCAACAATGGGAGTCTGCTGCTTTCATCAGTAGGAGTCTGCTGCTTTTATCAGTAGGAGTCTGCTACTTTCATCAGTGGGAGTCTGCTGCTTTCATCAGTAGGAGTCTGCTGCTTTCATCAATGGGAGTCTGCTACTTTCATCAGTGGGAGTCTGCTGCTTTCATCAGTAGGAGTCTGCTGCTTTCATCAATGGGAGTCTGCTACTTTCATCAGTAGGAGTCTGCTGCTTTCATCAATGGTACTCTGCTGCTTTCATCAGTAGGAGTCTGCTGCTTTCATCAGTAAGAGTCTGCTACTTTCATCAATAGGACTCTGCTGCTTTCATCAGTAGGAGTCTGCTACTTTCATCAGTGGGAGTCTGCTGCTTTCATCAGTAGGAGTCTGCTGCTTTAATCAATAGGAGTCTGCTACTTTCATCAGTAGGAGTCAGCTGCTTTCATCAATGGGACTCTGCTGCTTTCATCAGTAGGAGTCTGCTGCTTTCATCAGTAGGAGTCTGCTACTTTCATCAGTAGGAGTCTGCTACATTCATCAATAGGAGTCTGCTACTTTCATCAATAGGACTCTGCTGCTTTCATCAGTAGGAGTCTGCTACTTTCATCAGTAGGAGTCTGCTGCTTTCATCAGTAGGAGTCTGCTGCTTTCATCAGTAGGAGTCTGCTACTTTCATCAATAGGAGTCTGCTACTTTCATCAATGGGACTCTGCTGCATTCATCAGTAGGAGTCTGCTACTTTCATCAGTGGGAGTCTGCTGCTTTCATCAGTAGGAGTCTGCTACTTTTATCAGTGGGAGTCTGCTGCTTTCATCAGTAGGAGTCTGCTACTTTCATCAATGGGAGTCTGCTGCTTTCATCAGTAGGAGTCTGCTGCTTTCATCAGTAGGAGTCTGCTACTTTCATCAGTAGGAGTCTGCTGCTTTCATCGGTAAGAGTCTGCTACTTTCATCAATGGGAGTCTGCTGCTTTCATCAGTAGGAGTCTGCTGCTTTCATCAGTAGGAGTCTGCTACTTTCATCAGTGGGAGTCTGCTGCTTTCATCGGTAGGAGTCTGCTACTTTCATCAATGGGAGTCTGCTGCTTTCATCAGTAGGAGTCTGCTGCTTTCATCAGTAGGAGTCTGCTACTTTCATCAATGGGAGTCTGCTACTTTCATCAGAAGGAGTCTGCTACTTTCATCAGTAGGAGTCTGCTACTTTCATCAGTGGGAGTCTGCTGCTTTCATCGGTAGGAGTCTGCTATTTTCATCGGTAGGAGTCTGCTATTTTCATCAATAGGACTCTGCTACTTTCATCAATGGGACTCTGCTGCTTTCATCGGTAGGAGTCTGCTGCTTTCATCAGTAGGAGTCTGCTACTTTCATCAATGGGACTCTGCTACTTTCATCAGAGGATTTCTGCTGCTTTCATTTTAGAAGATTTTCAAAGCGCTTACGAAATATTTTTTTCTTTTTTTTTTTTTTTATTCTTCTTCGTTTTAATCCTAATCACCTGAACAACTGCATATATTATTTTGATGAACCTTTTTGTATTTTCTTCCTATTCACTAAACTAAATTTCTTGTTTCTATTCCAAAGTTTCACAACTTGTGATTTTTTTCTCAACAATAGTTTCTGGTTTGATGTTTCTGTTAGCTGTAATGAGATCATCAACCTGTTTGGTCTTATCACCATTCGTGACAGCTGTTGGCCTGCCACGATGAGGCCCGTCACAAAGTTCAATCTCTACTTTCTCACTAAGTTTGTCATTAACTCTACTTGCACATATCCTGACTATACTTATTCCGAGTGCAGCCTTTTCATAAACATTTAATAATCACTTAATTGCAGCACCTTTTCCTTCGCAAAACGGAAAATCCGTGGCATCTCCTTACGTTCCACGTCTCGCCAGAAAATAGCCATTTTGAAAAATGTCTATAAGAATGAAAAGAGAAGGTAACTCCACAAATTGTTCCCCTTGTTTATGGCTTATTCATAAAAAACTTAAAAGAAGTAATTAAAATTAATACTTTTATACCTTTGATATTAAATGAGAACAAACATTGCATTTTGACAGTTTCGAATTTAAAAATAAAGCCTGGGATTGTAAACCGAAAACACTGATCTTTCGGTTATTGGTTCAATACTCTAACTCCTATCCTTGCATATTTTGACTGCCTCCCTTTCAATCGCAGACAAGCACAAACAAATTTTCCAAACAATTTCCTTTCAAGTGTGGTGATATTTCTGCTTGGTTAATAAAATAGAAAGACCGCACACTTTCTCTTGTCATTGCAAACGATAAACGCCTACTTTCCTTCCTTTTCTTGCCTCCTCCCTAACTTGCCTTTATCATAGCATTGTTTCTTTCCTTTTCTACAACATTTCATTTCTTTCGTTAGTTGTTTTCTCCTTCTCACACATTTGATTTTTCACTATTATTAGTTTCGACATCTATCACCTTCTTTCACTTATTTCTTTTTTTCTGTTCCACCTCCTAAGTTTTCTTATTCTTCCTTATTTCATAATTTTTCCTTTAAATCTTTCATTCTTTCTTTCTGTCTTCTTTTCCTCTTGCCGCACTCGCTTTACCACCTGCTTTTTTCTTTTAACTCTCGTTCTTTTTTTCTTTTATGTTCTTTTCCTTTTTTCTTATTCTCTTTCTTTTTCGTTATTTTCTCTCATATGTTTTCTCTTAATTTTGTTCTTTTGGTATCATTTCTTTTTACACACATAGCACTGTACAATATTCATCCTTTTTTTTCTTTTATGATCTTTTCATTTCTCTCTCTCTCTATCTCTCTCTCTCTCTCTCTCTCAATGTTGTTTTTTTTCTTCCTTTTTACCACGGACATTGAATGA